ACAAACAGACTTTACAAGCTCTGAATAGTTGCACAACAAAGGGTCAAAATGGTCCACTACAGATTGAAAATCTCTCACAAGTGTCCACATGACACAACCTTTATTTACAAGCCTAAAGCAGCTACCAAACCCAACTAAAATGAGACTATTAAGCCTTCGGTCGTCCCTCTACATGTTGTGCAAAACATGAACATACCAAAAGACACAGACATACATAAGCATTACATCAAACATCTTGTTTAGAAGTTTGTCCGTGACACAGCGATAGCGGGAGCGGGAGTAGCGAGCGGCGACAGTGGCAGCAACAGCGAGTAGTGGCAGTGGCAAGCAGCAATAACGGCGGTGGCAGCGAGCAGCGGCAGCGGCAGTGGGAGCAGGAGCGACGAGCAGCAAGAGCGGCGAGCAGCGGGAGCGGCAAGCGGCAACAGCGATAGCGAGCAGCGACAGCGGCGAGCAGTGGGAGCGAGAGCGACAGCGGCAACGAGCAGGGTTAGGGTTGGGCAGCGATAGTTGGTATCGATTTTAGTTGGTTCGATTGAACCAACTAAAGCACTAGAGATCGGACCGGACCTAAAATCCTGGTTCAGTTGCCTGATTTAACCTAAGCGCTCGCCCAAAGCGCCCAGCGCCTGGGCTCGGGCAAGCGCCCAGGCGGCGCCTCTTTGAAGCGTGCCGCCTGGAAGTGAAGCGAGGGGCTCGGGCCTCGCCTCGCCTCGCCCGAGCGCCTTTTTAAATCATTGGTTTAATTCAAAAGAAATTATAGCCTGCAATCAAATTTGTGGCAAGTTTCAATTAAGAAACTCATAATCCATGATAAGGTGAAAGATTTCACTAATACATAAGAAAGGAAAAACCACCAAATACGTTTGCAAGGAGTGGTAATTGAATTCTCAGAGCAGAAAACCAACAAAGACTTGGTTATTCAATGAGAATGGGCATTATGATCCAACCCAGAGCATAATGAAGGCTCCACAATTTTTAGTCCTGACGACATGTAATTATGCTTAAGACATGGTGTTCTTCCTTATGAATTAACATCACACATCTCATAAAGCAGCAACAGAACTAGTAATGTAGTTTCATTAGCACTTACGTATTGTTGTTGTCATGGATCAATAGTCACGATCCAGCCGGTTTAACAGACCCATTCACTTCGTTGAGTATGTACTAACATAACACAAAATCAAATTTAACAGACCCATTCACTTTGTTGAGTATGTACCAACATACTAACAAAATCAAATCATACACGTGAGATTCATCCAATGTTGACTTCATATTATGATGTGCTCCGTAGCCCCATCCATAAGTAATTCCATTTGGTCGAGCCCCTAACCCTATCAAACAATAGATCGACTCCTCTATTATTTGTCACGATCCAACCCGATGAGATAAGTAACCTATTAAATATGGTGATTCCGACCCAAAATGCACAAGCCAATTCATACTTTCACCCATTTCTGACATGGGACTAACCCAGGACGTTATATCAACCCTCACAACTCCAAGGGATCGGACCAAGAAATAAATGTACCTTGAAATAACGAAAGAAGGGAGTCTTCACGAGATCCTGTAGTATCGGATGCAGCACCATCGCGTTCAGCGAATTCGCTGTCTCGTAATCGCAGCAACAATCCTCCACCAAGCCTGTGTAGCTTCTCAATCCCTACGACACCGTCGTCTCACACCAAATCAGCCCCAGTTGCAACAGAAGCCACCACAACCCACCAAAAGCCGACCTCCAACAGGGAAACATACCGGGGGGCATTCGCATGAATTGGTAACGGAGGCAGGGATCTCGAGGGCGTTCCTGGAGCCGACGAAGATCGCGAGCGCGACGGCGGTCAGGGCTCCGGCAGCCGCCCAGGCCCATCGCCGGCGGCTCTTCGCGCCCCCGCCATCGCCAGCGAAGGTGGCCTCGCCCCTTCCCATCTGAACTCGAATTGCTGCTGCTGATGACGATCTCGCGGAAGGAGGACGAGAGGATGGAAAGCATCGCGCGTGGTACCGATCGAGAGGGCGTATATATGCATAGCAGAAGAGTCGATACAGATGGAGGAAAACGACGGCGGAGGTGTTGGGTTTTCCGAATTGCTCCGAGTGGAAGTCGTCGAGGGAGAAAGGAGGCCGGGGGAGAGACTGAAAACCGGTGGCGGAGCAATCACCGTTTTAGCTTTGGAGGGCCCGAGGTCCGTTTAGGCGAATTTTAGGAAAAAGACCGTCGATTTCGATACTTTTCAAACAGAATCCCTTTTTATAATTTTCCGCATATTACCTCTCTTTTTCGTTATTTCAATATTATATTCATCTTCTATTTCTTTAGTCGATTATTTGTTGGTCTGATTCCGATTCAATACATTGGAAAAGACGTGTAATAATATGCCTTTTTTAAATAATAATTACTTATACACATATATTAAAAAATAAATTTAAATATATATTAAAGAATCTTTAAAAAAGAATATTCTAGAAAGCATAAAAAGACTATCTCTAAATACTAAAAGGTAATAGTTTTTGGTTTTAGGGTACTTTACCGTTCGGTTTAAAAACTTAAGATTTAGCAATTACACTATTTATTAAAGCCAATATAACTATCTCACTCTTGGGCTTATCTTAATCAAGGTGTATATTAACTACATCTATATCACGAAGATCGATCTCACAGAATTGGAGTAAAATTTAATCAAGTTACGATCAACTATAAGAATACTTGGAAATAATATAAGTACATTAATCCTAAGTGTTTCTGTCCAAAAATATACCCCAAATCTCCTTCTCAATAAGAATCTTGTAGAACATGAATAAATTTCCATCCGATCTAAGTCAATTAAATCAATTTTTTAATCTTATTTTCGAGTTTCTTTATGCAAAATATACTCAAATAACCTATTCATCATAAAGATTCTAATCATAAAAGACAGATAAAATTCCAGTATAAAAAACTCAGGACTGAATCGATACACTGTTTTTATAAATTAATCTATCATATGCAACACAAAAAAACTTAGAATTGCTTAGGAGCGACACATGCTTTTTCAATTAATTTTAAGTATATATTCTCTCCAAAATAGAAGTTTAGTGTGTGAAAACAAGATAACTTAACACAATGAAAAAGAAAGGAAATAAAAATCAATGAAGTAATAAAGAAAACTAAAATATTTTAAAGTTCATTGGTGTAATTTATTGAAGGAATATTAATATGAGCAAGATGAATGTACGATATAAATATTTGGAGGATGTAAAATTTAAATATTTGACTCGATGTATCAAAATTTAAAATGTTAACTATGATACTTTTAAACTTTGAAAGGTAGATAAATAATTCCGTTTTATCTTACATTGGCATATATATTAAATCTAAACAATGGTCTCATCATAAACCACTAACAACATATGAACTAGCCCCATTAAATGCACCGAGGATCTTATTTTAAATTTGGTGCTCTCAAACCTATTAAGGTAGATCTGATTGAATATTTGCAATATGAACCATTTAAGGGAATGGGAAATGATTTTACTTAAGGTAAAATAAAATTCTTAATTTTGGTGCTCCTTATTGGTAAGAATTCTAGAAACACTGAGTTACTATTTTCTTTCACTAATATCACTAATGGAAGCTTCAATTCCTTAGGAAATTGATAAAAGAATACAATTATTACCTACGATTCAATATTTACGTATATAAAAATACAACTATAAATTGGAAATTTTAGATCATTTTATTATTATCTAAGATTTGAACATGTTTAATCCGCACTTCATCTAACAGTAGCACATTTGTTGAAGCCAGTTATGACCTGAGAAGTGACCATGAGGTTTCACACTCTATAAACTATCATGCAGGAATAGAGCATCAAGTTTTAGACTCCACAGATAACATCAACAGTAAGCCATGAAGTTGTAACAAGAATGCTTGAGACAAGCTACAGTCAAAAGGATTCTGGATTGCTATCACATAATAATATATTATTCTTATTATGTTAAAGAAGTTCAGAACATGCTAAAGCAACAAAAAAGGCTCCAAATAATATTATTATGTTCTGCTGAAGGATTCTGGATTGTTATCACCAGACTGGACTAGATCAAGTTATCATCACTGTTATTTGAAATGTATACTAAAGCAGCCAAATGGTTTAGGAAAGTTGAACAGATTTTATTTCACTGAATTTAAAGTTTTAATGACACAATAAATGAATTCTCAGCTTGAAGGTAGAAAGGAAATTATTCCAGAACCTGAAGTTTCAGGGTTTTGGCCACGGAGCTGCATGAGACCTGCTCTAGGAAAAGCTCAGAAAAATGGTTCTGTTGCATCAAGGACAGTGTCCGAAGAAGCACAAAGGCTGCATTTTTCATACTGCAGTTCATTATTTTCGTACGTAAGCTAAAAAGTAGGCACTTCGACATGGTCAAACCAGAGGACTCAAGCAGCTGCAGCCTCCAAGAGCTCTTTCTGCGCTCTCTCCTTGATCCTCCTTTCTAGTTCTGGCCTAAAATGCCTGATAAGCCCCTGCACGGGCCATGCAGCAGCATCACCCAGAGCACATATAGTGTGCCCTTCAATCTGCTTTGTGACTTCCTGAAGCATATCAATCTCCTCCAGCATGGCATTCCCCACCTTCAACTTCTCCATAATCATCCGCAGCCATCCAGTCCCCTCCCTGCAAGGTGTGCACTGACCACAGCTTTCATGCTTGTAGAAGTAAGACAGCCTTGCTATTGCATCCACAACATCTGTGGACTTGTCCATCACGATCACGGCTGCCGTACCCAGTCCAGACTGAACAGCTTTGAGAGCATCATAATCCATCAGGACATCATCACAAATGTGCTTGGGAAGGAGAGGAACAGAGGAACCTCCTGGGATGACTGCCAAAAGGTTGTCCCAACCTCCTCTAACACCACCACAATGCCTCTCGAGCAATTCCTTCAATGGGATGCTCATCTCCTCCTCCACCGTGCAAGGTTTATTCACATGACCAGAAATACAGAATAGTTTTGTACCAGAATTATTTTTCCGGCCAAAGCTTGCAAACCATTCAGGCCCTCGCCGCAAAATTGTGGGAGAAACAGCCACAGTCTCCACATTTGTTACAGTTGTTGGGCAGCCATATAATCCGGCATTAGCTGGGAAAGGAGGCTTCAGTCTTGGTTTCCCTTGTTTCCCTTCAAGGCTCTCCAACAATGCTGTCTCTTCACCGCAGATGTAAGCACCGGCACCATAGTGTATATGCACATCAAAATCATAACCTGATCCACAAGCATTCCTTCCCAACAATCCAGCTTGATATGCTTCTTTTCTAGCTTTCTCCAAAGTCAATCGCTCATTTACGTACTCCCCTCTAATGTATATGTAAGCAGCTGTTGCCTTCATACCAACTCCAGCAATCAAACACCCTTCAAGCAGTTTATGAGGATCATGGCGCATGATTTCTCTGTCCTTACATGTACCGGGTTCACTTTCATCAGCATTGACGACAAGATAAGAAGGGCGGCCATCAGATACCTTTGGCATGAAAGACCACTTAAGGCCAGATGGAAAACCAGCTCCTCCACGACCTCGTAGACCAGATTTCTTGATTTCATTAACAATCCAGTCACTACCCTTAATTACCAAATCCTTGGTTCTATACCAGTCACCCCGCTTCATGGCACCTTTGAGCAAAGGATCATGCAAACCATAAAGGTTGGTAAAAATGCGATCTTCATCCTTCAAACCACCAAAATGAGTCTTTTCTGGAGGTGGAGGTGGTGGTGGGGGCTGAGGTGTATTTCCTGTTGTTGCAGCTTGTGTGCTTAATGACCTAGAAGCAGAACTTAACCTCCAGCCACTGAAATGATGAACCAGTTCAGTCCTATATAGCAAACAAAGGTTCTTGATGGGTGCCTACAAAAAGCATTTGCACAAGTGAGGCAAAATATAACAAACTGCAATAGTGAATAAAAATAAAATGGTATTGCTGGAGAAAATGTACAACGATAGAGAGTATATGCATCACATGGCATCACACAAAATTCTGCCTAGGATGTAAAGAATCATTGAGAACTTACATAGGTGCAAATAGTAAATTATTCAGAACATCTTTTTCAAATGCATATTGTATCTTCTTTTCCAATCAGGCAGCAAACAAGCATTCAGAAACTAACAGATTAAAAAGAAAGTGGTTAAAAATTACAACTACCAGTATTTTACCAAGCACCGATTTCAGACTACGATGATGCATCCTCCCTGGCTCATAGTGTCAGCAAATGATTGGCGATGTAAATGGGTATTTGGCTAAAGCCGGATGTGCCATGGCGAGTGCTTGACCCAGGAAGGTGCATGATGATGTAACACATGGCAAATGCATCAACAGGCACATGCTTGCCCGGATAGGTGCACATGGAACAACACATAACAAATGCCTTGCTGAGTTGTGGCTCACTAAAGCTAGGCATGTCTCATGGCAATAATTGCAGGATACATTTATCTCGAATCATGATGTCAGCTCACTAGAGCTAGGCATGTGTCATGGCAATCATCGCAGGATACACTAATCTTCAATCATGAAATTATTAATGAAAGTAAAATATCACAATAATTCAAGGTTAATTCACAAATACTTCATTCCTTTTTTTCTTATTCCCAAAATTCTAGTGATGCAGACCGTTTCAAAAGAATCAAAACATATCATAAAATTGGTACACAGATCTTTCAAAGGTTCCTTTAATACATGCTGGGGCCATCATAAAATTGCCTCCTTTCTCCTGTTGTACTACCTCGTTAAATCTACTGTGAGTGAATTTATGACACTTTCAAGCAAGAAATAGAACAATAATACAATTTTGCATTCATGTTAACCAAGCTCCTTCTTTGCAGAAGTCTTAATCAGTAGAAACCATAACCATTGCCTGAAAAACTTCATATAAGAATACTAAACTGGAACATAACTGGTCTAATTTTCAGTCAAAAAATACTGTGCTTGATCATTGCTTACAATACATAAAAAGATTAAACAAGATCAAGACCTACATTCCCAATTCCCTGTTGAGGCCAAATAACACCCTTTTTTTCCATATTACTCATCTGGATCATATCCTTCATATATAATAAAAGCCAATAACTCTTCCCTAATCAACCTAGTCTTAAAGTTCAACCATAAGCAAATCTTCCCCCACAAAAAAGGATACTGGAAGCAAGAATTG